TGGAGGGGACTGGCCGTTTGCCTGGCCTCTGAAGGACTCCAGGAAGACAAAGAAATAGCTACAAAATGGAGTCAAACCTCTGAGTGGCAGGAAAATCTGAATGGGCCGGGGAGAGAGGAGGCACCCCTATAGGGTGGGGAAAGGGGTCCCTGAAATGCTTTTTAAAAAAACCAAAAAAAATCCGACATAAGATCTGCCGGGAAATAAAAGCAAACCGCCAGCAGTCCCGTGTCCTGCTACCACTGTTTGTTCATTCCTGGCCACTGAGAAAGCTCTCCAGCTTGCTTTCTCTCTTTCTCTCTCTCTCTCAGCCCCATTCTCAAAGAGGTGCTTGCCCGTGCCCTTAAACCAGCTTCAACTGTCTCCGAGCCTCCCTGCTACATCTCTTCCCTCTCATCAGGTTGCAGAGAACTTCCATCAGCTGAGCATCTTGCTTGGGAGGGTTTAAAAAAAGAGAGGTGGGATAATAAGGACTTGGCCAGGGGCTTAACAAGAAGCAACCAGAGGCTGTTGCATCAGGCAGCCGAGGGATAGATTAATTTTTTTAAAAAAAAACTTTTCTTTTAATATTTTCTCTTTAGAGGAAGATGGATGGGGTGGGGCAGGGTGTTCCTCTCTGTCAGGAACCACCCTAGCCACACAAAAAACAGACACCGCAATATTTGGGTGGTGCATGTATTTGAAGAGACCCACCAGCACCCCAAGGAAAAGGGTTCAAGGAAGCCCTTGGGCTGGCACAAGCAGAAATCAGTGGGGAGGGGAAGAAAGGAGAAGGGGGGAGGGAGGGAGATCCATGGGGAAACAGCCGCAGGAATGCGATCGTTTGTTGCGAAGAAAGAAGGAAAGCCTAGATCGGAAGAGAGTAGACAAGAGTAGAGGAACCCATTTGGGAGATTGAGGAATCAGGAAAACTTACTTCCTGCTCCTCTCCAAACGTGTTTGACTTTACAACGCCCACCATCCCCAGGCTGGGCTTTGGGAACTGTCTGAGGCTACAGGGCGCTTCTAAGCCCTCTCCCAAGATCCCTGGGCTGGCTGGTGTAAGAAGGCAGCCTTTTTTCACAGTTTCTCTGCCTGCAATTTCACATTCGTCAACTGACTTTTCGTTTTCGGGGAGAAGATCTGGCCATGCAAGGGGCGGGTTAGAGTGGGGGAGGGGAGGCGAGCAAGCAAGGAAAGGCCGAAAAGGGGAGGGATGCCCCAGACAATCACACAGTAGGTAGTAAGAGGGCAGCTGTAGGGAAAAGGCAGGAACAGGAGGCAGCTTCCCGAACAAGAGGTGGAGACAGGGAGGATGAAAGGATGGCTGTATTCTGGTCCTCCACCGGGCATGTCTCCATGCAAGGAAGGAAGGCAGGCCAGGAGAGAGAGATGCTGTAGCCAGCAAAGGCATGCATAAAGTCCTACGCTCTCGGCTGATATCAAAGGCAGACCAAATTCCCCCCCCCCTTTAAAGAAGGAATCCACTTCACCCCCACCCTGTAAGCCACTAGATTGTGTTTTTTTGGTTGGAATTATCCAAAACAGGCTGTAATTTGAGGCCTCCAACAGTGAAGGGCATCCATAAATACATAAGGAAATACTCTCCCCCACCCCAATATCTCCATCATCTACATGGGGGTGGGGGTTTAATGTTACATGGCTTTGCCACCGCTTAAGATTCTCTGCAGGTCTTCCCCTTTTACGGATTTCGAGGCGTCCAAACACACGCCCTTTGGGAGAGGAAAAAGACCTTCTTTTCAAGCGGGGGAAAGAGGCTTCCTCTCCGAAAGGAAGGGACCCCAGGCCCCCGGGCCAGGACCCAAACAATGAGAGGCAAAGAATGGGCGGGAGGAGGAAGGGAAGAACCCCCCCCCCAGGTGGGAGTGGAGACAGAGAAAGGAAAATGGAGAAGGCGTGCGCAAGGCGGCAGAAGCGGCACAAGGCCTGGGTGGTTTTCCTCCAGTCCATCTTCCCCTGGTTGGCTGCCCCCCTCTTGTACGTACACACACACACACACACACACACAGGGGGCAAAATTAATCAGAATTTTGGAGGGGACTGGCCGTTTGCCTGGCCTCTGAAGGACTCCAGGAAGACAAAGAAATAGCTACAAAATGGAGTCAAACCTCTGAGTGGCAGGAAAATCTGAATGGGCCGGGGAGAGAGGAGGCACCCCTATAGGGTGGGGGAAGGGGTCCCTGAAATGCTTTTTTAAAAAACACACACAAAAAAACCCCACATAAGATCTGCCAGGAAATAAAAGCAAACCGCCAGCAGTCCTGTGTCCTGCGACCACTGTTTGTTCATTCCTGGCCACCGAGAAAGCTCTCCAGCTTGCTTTCTCTCTCTCTCTCTGTCTGTCTGTCTCTCTCTCTCTCTCAGCCCCATTCTCAAAGAGGTGCTTGCCCGTGCCCTTAAACCAGCTTCAACTGTCTCCGAGCCTCCCTGCTACATCTCTTCCCTCACATCAGGTTGCAGAGAACTTCCATCAGCTGAGCATCTTGCTTGGGAGGGTTTAAAAAAAGAGAGGTGGGATAATAAGGACTTGGCCAGGGGCTTAACAAGAAGCAACCAGAGGCTGTTGCATCAGGCAGCCGAGGGATATAGACACATAACACACACACACACTCACTCTGTTAGCCAGCTCTGCAGCTCTGGGGAGTCAGACCCGCCTTGGAGGGCTTTCCTTGGGGAGACCATTGAGTGACAGGATCTAAAGTAAGGGTCCCTTTCCAGCTTGTCCAGGACAAGGAGGATGAAGGTAATGAAGAGCAGGGAGTGGGAGACGGGGGGGACTGCCAGGAGAAGGCAGCTCCGTTTCTCTTTTCTGCCTGAGTTTAAAGAAGAGCCACGCCTCCCCCAACATCACCAAGGCCGGATCCACACGTGCCTGTTCCTCCCTTCTTCCCCTTTCCACGTGTGAACAGAGATCAAAGCACCTTTAGCGGCAAGGCCCGGCAGACTTGGGACGCCCCCCCCCCGCCGCCGCCGCAGTTGGAAAGGAAGGGGGGAAAGGAAGCAAGGCAACTTAGC